TCCAGAGGGGATGAATTTTCAACAATAGTTGTCTGACATTCAGACTAAAGTAACATTTTGTGTCAGTATGTAACAGTAGTTTCCCTGACATGAGGTTGCTGTTTGCTATTGTGAATCAGAAGAAACACCTTTTAGGGAGTGTGCTTTCATTTGTCCTTTGTATGTTTGTGTTTTTCAGTTACTTGGAAAAGTGCAACCCAAAGATGCAACCCAGCAATACATTTGCAACATTAGCAAAATGCTGCAGGCACTCGGTCAAGCCCACCAGGACTTGAAGAGGGAGAACCACGAGCATGCAGCCGAAAATGCCCGTCTGAAGGGGCTGAAGACTGAAAATCCTCAATTGAAGGCTGAAAAGAACTGTCTGGGGGCTGGAAACTACATGCTGATGGGGCTGGAGATAGAAAACAACTGGTTGAAGGATGAAAACACCCGGCTGAAGACTGAAAACGCACGTTTTGAGGGGCTGGAGGCTGAAAACGCCTTTCTAAAAGGGGTGGAGGTAGAAAACACCCAGCTGAGGGCTGAAAACGCATGTCTTAAGGAGCTGGAGGTAAAAAACACCCAGCTAACGGCTGAAAACGCCAGTCTGGAGGAGCTAAAGGCTGAAAATAACCATCTGAAAATGCTGAAGGCTGAAAACCCCCAGTTGAAGGCTGAAAACAACCGTCTAGAGGAGCTGAAGGCTAACAACTACGGGCTGATGGGGCTGGAGAAAGAAAACAACTGGTTGAAGGCTGAAAACACCCGGCTGAAGGCTGAAAACGCACATCTTGAGAAGCTGAAGGCTGAAATCGCCTGGCTAAAGGAGGTGGAGGTAGAAAACACAGAGCTGAAGGCCGAAAAGACCCGTATGGAGGAGCTGGGGTTTGAAAGATGGAGTCTTCTGCCTCACTTCTGAAATCCAAAGACAACCTGACCAGCTTAGTTCAGCTTGTGGGGTCTGCAAAAGCCAGAGTGAAGGAGCTGGAGAATGAGCTCAGAAACGGCAGCTTTAAAGTGAAAGAGGAAGAAATCATCTTCCTTAATGTAAATCTGAAGCTCAAACAGGCTAAGAACAAGAGAACTTGGAGGACAAACTGCGGCACTGCATCCTCGAAAATGAGGCCAGGTCCCAAAAAATAGACTAGATGCAAAAACAACTGAGAGACTCAGATGAGAGGTGGTCCACCAAGTACGAGGAGATGCTCGAAAAGGAAATCAAGCTTAAGGACATGATAAAACTCATGATCCAGCAGAGCATTGAGCGGGAGGTACGTTACAGAACAGCTCATTCTGATTTCTATTTCAGATTCAGACTTTGAAAAAGAACAGAGTGCAACTTATGCTGTCTCTGTCTTGTCAGGAACAGATCTTGAAGACCAATAGCTACAAATAGAGGGCCAAGAAGGAGAAAAACTAAAGGAAGAAGAGAAAGAGGGAGGAGAAGAAAAACTGGAAGAAGAGAGAGAAGGAGGAGAAGAAATACAGGAGGAAGAGAGAGGAGAGCAACGGGACGATGAGCAGGAGGTTCCACAATTTTCTCCCCAAATGCTCCAACTTCTTTTAATCTCCTCTCCCATACTTCGTCTCCCTCTAACCCGTCAATCATCCCCTCATCCCAACTCTTACACCTTAACCTCTCTCCCTCACCCTCTTCCCTCCACTCATTACCGTCCATCCACCTGTATGTGTTAAAACATTTGAGGCCACTCTTTCTCAATAATTAAAACTCAAAAATGAATTATTGTATTAATAACTCAGTTATTCTGAGTGCACTTAATTTTGTGGATCATTTTAAGTACTGGTGACAGGACAGGCATGTGCACAGACATTTTTGGGGACAGGTGCTCAAGCCAATATATTCTATAAAATACAAGTGTTTACAAAAGAGGTGAAGGGAGCAGGGTTGTTCAGCTACTTCACAGGAGGATTCTCCTTGGTGCCATCTCTTGGAAGATTTGTATGACTTCATTCTGGTTTATTTGTATGTCTTGGTCAATGGCAAGCAGGAGAAGGTCAGAGAGTCTTTCTTCCCCACATAGACTCCTAATTTGTAACACAGTAAAACTGTCTTTAAATTATCTGTCTGTCTGTCTGCTGCAGCTGTCTGTATCTCTCTCCCCCTCTCTTTTCATTGAACATGACAAACGTCAGTAAACAGCTGGACAAGGCTTTGAAATCACAGATTTCATTAGTACAAAACGTGTAGGCTATGCGTTATGCATGGATGCTCTTTGTATGAAAAGGCAAGCGTTTTCAGCAGGTGTGACGCCTTAAGAGCAAAAGGGCAGGTGCTTGAGCACCACTAGGGGTCTATCTGTGCACGTGACTGACTGGTGACATGTCTCTAGAACAGCTTTCTTCCACCTGCGCAATATTGTAAAACAAATTAGAAATATCCTGTCTCAGAAGGATGCTGAAAAACTAGTCCAAGTGGTTTTTCAAGCCACAAGTACAAACTTCAAAAGTGGAGTCTATCTATGTTGAGTCACTGCCTACTGATACACATGCATTAATATCCAGCATCACAGACAGCAGCAGGGTATATGGCACAAAACCTGCATCCATTGATGGGACAATTTTTGTGGCAGGCATGTTTTTTTGCACTGGGACACATGCTGAATTGCAGGAATGACATCTTTTCCACTGAAAGGCTATGAGAGCTGGTACTGTATATTGAACATTTATGGTCTTATGAGCTAACAAATCATAAATGCATGGAGGGCCATGCATTGAAATTTGAGTGGCAGTTAACTGATCAAATACCACAGGTTGCCTGCAAAGTTTTTGGCAAGCTAATTCTGACAACTAAACATTTCATTCCAGTGTCTGAGTAAAGGAGCAGCACAACAGCAAGCAGCCCTCCTTAGCCTCTTTTCTGGTTGACCAGAGGGAGGTTAAACGTCTGTCTTGACTGCTACAAATTCTAATGAACACCCTTCTGGACAGACTGGACATTTTCAAAGGTGATATTTGTTTCCCACTATGTGTTGGAGGATATCATTACAATATGATGCTTAGTTATATTTGTGAATAAGATGAATGATTAGCCTACAATCAAGAGTGCATTGTTCCAGTTATACCATGCTCTGCTGAAAAAATTTAAGCAGTCCTTGCCTGTTGAAAGGAAAATGTCAATCTTTTGGGAAAGTTACTGTTGTAAGCAGCTAGTTAACTTGGTTTAACATAAAGAATGGAAATGGGGGATAATGGCTGCCCTGCAAAAAAAAAATCCACTAACTTATCTATTTAATTTGTATATTGTAAAAAATACAAGGGTATTTATGTGCTGGACTTTAGCTTGCTTGGGAGCATGCGACTTCTTGGAGACTCCACTGGTTGAGGTAGCCTCACAATAGACGTTTTTCAGACATCGCACCTCCTCTGGAGAAACTGCAGAGAATCAACTTAGTTTAGTGCATATGTGAAAGCAGTTAATGATGACAGGACTCCAGGAAGTTACTGTGTTTATTAGCAAATGTGTAAGGTTTATGTCTAATAATAAGCGAGCAGTTTATGTATTGATTTTTGTGGGTGGTCTATATAGAGCCAGCACCTGAAGTAACCATTTGTTTGTGTTGTGTTACAGGTCTTCCTAATACAGTGTAAATGGATCTGAATGCTGTCCTAAAATTAAGGGTCATACTAGATAATATCAATGCTGAGAGGCTTATTTTGCCCTCTCGTCCTGAGACCGTAAATGCCCTCATATTGGAGGTGAAAAATAAGTTGAACTTGGTCTATGACTTTTGACTTCAGTTCCAAGACACAGAGTTTGACAATGCCCTCTGTAATTTAGTTAACATAAAGGACCTTCTAATCAAGGCAACCATTAAGATAGTTAGATTTGTTGATTTAGATTTTAGTTCAACCAGCAGTGTTCCTGTGTGATGACAAAGATTCAACAGTGTCTTTGTCGATGGCCAGAGATATTTTTTGTTCCAACATTCTCATATGAGGTGGAGTATGGTCTAAGAGAGGGCAACTCTTCATATGTGAAGGAGGGAAAAACGCTCAGGTTGATCAGAGATCAAAAACACAACATGATAGATGTAATGGCTGCTGAAGCATATCCTAGTACCAAACAGCAAGGCTTCAGAGGCTCTGAAAGAAAAAGGTTCCAAAACAATGTATGAGGGTTGGAAGAACAGCTTGCGCTTCAGAATGGTCAACTACAGGACAAAACTGAGGAGGGCTGACATAAAAGATAAAAGCGCAGCAGGACCAATCCAGAAGGTGCAGCATCCAGAACCAACATCAAAAGACCCAAAAGAGGGGAAGTCAACTTCCTTCCTAATTATCCACTGGGAGAAATTAAGGAAAGATTGGAGACCATGAGGTTTCAGGTGATGGAGCAGATTAAGAAGACATCAATTGAAAGAGACATGATTGTCATCCACCAACTAATGCACCGTGCGTTTGCACTAAGGTGTGAAGAAATTGTGAATTCAGCTCCTCCAATTGCCGAACTAAAAGACAGATGGCCTGCACTCTTTCCTAAAGCCCAAGTGAATAAAACAATTCAAAAAAGAGCAATTAAATTGTTTACAAGACACTACTTGATCTGGAAAAAGGGCTTGAGTTTAATATTGTGTGTCTATTTGTCTATATCCTGTCATGTTGTTTTCCATGCAGCTCTACACTGAATTCCACAAGATCACCAATCAAAATCTTCCTTCTATGCTTCCTGTGTCAGGTTTGGAGGTGCGTGGGGAGGGAACGAACGTGGTAGGAAAAAAGGGAAGGGAAAGGCAGAAACTAAATATTGTTTAACAAAAAGTGTCTTTTATTTAAAAGGTAAACGTAACAAAAGAAATCTTCAAGAAACAAAAGTCGCACTCAAAAACAGGAGTGGAACAAGGAAGGACAGGAAACAATTTACGGGGAAACGTGACGAGAGCTGACGGGACACATGAACATGACAAGAATTGAAGAATCGACGAACCAACCATCACATGGGGGGAACACAAAGACTTAAATACACACTTGAACTAATGAGTAACTGGGGACAGGTGGCACAAGACAAACAGGTGAACCTGATGAGGGCAGGAAGTCAAAGGGTGAAAACACAGGGAGCAAGGACTACAAAATAAAACAGGAAACACTGAACAAACTTATCAACGAGAACAAAAT